AGAGAGAGAGAGAGAGAGAGAGAGAGAGAGAGAGAGAGAGAGAGAGAACTGATTTCAAGACGTCTTCCAAGCATTTAACCCTATGAGATAAGTTGTTTCAGTTTGAAATGAGAGCTGAAATGTTCTTATTCTTCCCCTAAAACTGTTAATCAGCCTTTGTTGCTGACACTGATACAAGTCTTCTGATTTTCTAAAGAAATACATCATATTCATAGAATCATAAACATTTCTTTCATACCCTGCATTATCTGATATAAGTCATGTTGAGAGGTTACATTCTCATTGCTGCTCAGTCAATATCTACGTTGATGCTTTACATGAGAATATCAGGCCTTTTAAAGTGATGTGAAGGCATTTGATTAACCACCTTTTCAACACTCCTTGCTAATCTGTACGTCTTCAGTGGTAGCCTACTGATCCAAGCATATGGAAAGCCATGAAAACTCACTCAACTTCCAAAATGTGAGCATGCTTCGTCCGTGGAAAAAACCTGAGTCATCTGCATAATGGACTTGCTCGATGCCAGCTAAGCTACCCCCCCCCTAACTAAAGGCTCCAGCAGGTCTCGTGAGCTGGAAAGAAGTTCTATAATTGTTCAGTATGATGATGCTGCCAAACCTGATCGCTAGTTTTAAGAAAAGTTGCACTTGGGATAGGAAAGACTATTAAAAAGTCTGAAAACTGTGCTTATTAGTAATCGTTATTTGAGGATTGCACGCTGCAAAATGTCTCTCTCCTCTCTCTCTCTCTCTCTCTCTCTCTCTCTCTCTCTCTCTCTCTCTCTCTCTCTCTCTCTCTCTCTCTCGCACATGCACAATCTTCCACCTGTATTTTGTTGTTGCCCTCTAGTCTTTCTCTTTCTGTTTCTCTTTGTCTGTACTAATGGGGTGCTAACGATGGTTCATTTCACACAAGAGTGCAGAAAGAAAGACATTCTGCTTACGTTCACATAGGGCACAGCGAGCAAAGCAAAGCTGCTGCTAGTTTTCTCTTTGTGTATCTTTTTTCTCTGTTTGCATTCACATATACATCTGAAGGCTTCGTTATCTTCAGGGTATTTTGATGAACATGCCATCACTGACAGCATCTTGGAAACCCGAGAAAAATTAGGTCAGGTGAGCATACCACGTTGAGTACGCCTGAGAGAGTGAGTGAAATAGTGTGAGTGCATGTACGTTTATACATTATGTAATAAGATATCTGTGTGTATTTGCGTGTGTATGAGTGTGTGTGTGTGTATGTGTGTGTGTGTGTGTGTGTGTGTGTGTGTGTATGTGTATGTGTGTAAGTGTA